TGTACATGTTTGACAAACCAATAAAAATAAAGAAGGCAGAATAGAGTAGAGTAGGAGTAAGAATAGAAGAGAATATAGAAGAGAAGAGAAGAGAATATAGAAGAGAAGAGGAGAGGAGAGAAGAGGAGAGGAGAAGAGATGGAAAGAAGGACGCAGTGGATGCTGAAGAAATGTACGGCCTTCCTTTGGCGTCCTGCCACTGAGCTGGTGCAGAGGTTTTTCCACCATAACAGAACAGCGGTTATCCTGAAGGTGAATCTGGACAGCCCAGAATCGTGATTGGTCCTTTTTTAAAAAAAAATTATCTCAGACACTTTCCAGGGCTTGCAAATGTCTCCATAAACGCAGCAGAGAGAAGCTGAGAGAGAGATATATATTTATATTTTGGGGGAAAGTACAGCCCAGCACGTCAACAAGGGGCCTCTTTCCAAGGCTTTTCCGACCCATCCATCACCCGCAAAGGCTATTTTCGACCTCCTTATCGGGGCCTCCATCTGTCCCAGCCTCCTCTGGCGTCTTTGGCTCCCACCGGACAAGGCCATGACGTCCCCAAAGCTCAAGGGTGGCACAGGCTGCATCCCCGCCTACCCTCGCCAGCCTGGCTGCCCCAGAGAGCATCCAAACTGTCCACCCTCCACCACCACCCCACGCTGTAAGCAGGCCTCCCGTTGGTCCATCCATGGCTAGCATGGAGTTGGCCCTGGGCCCAAACTCCTGCAGCCTGGCCATAAAGGCCCCTGAGGGGCTGAGGGGGGGGTCTCTCCCGGGCTTGCAAGGTAGGCCTGATGGCAGAGGCCTCCCTCCCACCCTGGGCGGTCGGTCGTTAAGGCTGGTGAAGAGGACCCAGTGGGCCTCCAAGGGCTGGAGGTGTTTGTAATCAAGGCTCCCGCCTTAAGGTCAAAGCCCTTTTCACATTTGGACTGTCCCTCAAACAGAGACGGGCGTTATTGGATGGCTGTGGCTGCCATGTTGAAGTAGTTGTGCCTTCCCCACAGGGGTGGGATTCAAATTTTTAACAACCGGTTCTGTGGGTGTGGCTTAGGTGATGGACGTGGCTTGGGGGTCATGATATTGGCTGGGCGTGGCCAACTCAACATCACTCACATCGAGGCACGCATCTCCTCACCTGGCCTCTCATGACTGTGGGGATGCTGCAACAGTCGTAAGTGTGAAAAATGGTCATAAGTCACTTTTTTTAGTGCCGTTGTAACTTTGAAGAGTCATTCCACACAAGCAAAGTACTAGCAAAGGAGGGGAAAAAAACTCCAGAGAAGTTCCTGAGACAGGAAGTTTAGTCCTGCCAAGACTGTAATAAGGGTTAACGGAGACGCAGTTTCTGTAAGCAACACCAGAATGTTTCCTTCCTGCCTTCCTTACAGGATTAGCCCTGTAATTTCTTCTAACAACCGGTTCTCCAAACTGCTTAGAAGGTTAACAACCGGTTCTAGCGAATAGGTGCAAACTGGTAGAATCCCAACCCTGCTTCCCCACAGATATCCCAGGCAATTCAGGAACAGGTGAAGTCCAGGCTAATGAAGAGAAAGAACGGGGGGGGAACGGGGGGGACGGACACATGATAGCAGCCTTCCAATATCTGAGGAGCTGCCCCAAAGAAGGGCGGGGGGTGGGGGCAACCTATTCTTCATCACCCAAAGGCAGGAGAAGAAGCGACGGATGGAAACTCATCCAGGGGAGAAGCAACCGGGAACGAAGGAGGAATTTCCTGACAATCAGAACAATCCCCTGGCGGAGCAGAAGCTGTAGCGGAAATTGCTCTATCCCCGGAGGCTTTGAAGAAGAGGCGGGGCAGCCCCTTCTCTGGAATGGTATGCAGGGTCTCTTGCTTGAGCCGGGGGCTGGACTAGATGACCTCCCAGGCTCCCTCCCAGCCCTGTGATTCGGTTAATGCCCTGCTTCTTTCAAGCTTGGTCAAGGCTTTGGCCTCTTCAGGGCCCCGTTGGGCCTTGGGGACCAGCCTCGATCCCTGCTCCTCCTGGGTGAGGGGCTGTGAGAGACCCTTGGCTGGGGCGGCCTCTGCTGCCCACCCTACAGGGCCCTGCTCTGCCTGGGCAGGGGGCTCTTCCCGCCCGTCTGCCCTTCCGAGGTGCCCGCCGAGGGTCGTGAGGGTCGGGTCCTGCCTGTCCTGGAGGGGGCCGTGGGGCAAGCCCAGAAGGAACGGGAAGAGGAAGGCGGTTCAATCTCCCCAACACGGACAGGAAATCCGCCGCTTACCACCACAATGGAGCCCCAAATTTCTGTCGCTAAGGGAGACATTCGTGAAGTGATTTCCCCCCCCCTTCCTTGTACAGCCTTTCTTGCCTCCGTCATTAAAGGGAACCGCTGCAGCGGATAAATCAGTCACGCTCAACACTTATCGATGGTCGTAAGTGTGGGAAAATCACTCCTAAGACCCTTTCCTGGCACTGTTGCCACTTCGAGTGGTCCTTAAACGAAGCGTCGTAAGTCGAGGGCTGCTTGTAAATAAAAGGGCTGCCTCCCTCCTCTCCGGTCCCTTTCGGGCTCAATTTCTGCTCTGAATTTGGGTGAGTGGGACGGGTGTGTGTGTGTGTGCGTGTGTCTGTTGGGGCAGGGGATCCTCCCTGAAACTGGCTGACCCCCCCCTCCAGACTCCCCAAGAAAGTGATCCCCCTTGGGGAGGGGGCAGCTCGGGGGAAGCAGGGAGGGCTACCCCTTCCCCCCCCCCCCCGGGGCTCCATGGCCTTAACCTTTCATGGGGAGCCCCCGCCCCCCCCCCGACTCCAGGCTGGGGCCCGTCTTCAAAGGGACCCACCGCTTCCGCTGTTCCAAGAATCCCCTCTCCTCCCCCCCCCGCCCCTCCCCAGATGCCCAGCCTTGCCCTCCTGGCCTTGGTGGTATTTTGAGCGAGGGAGGAGTTCAAAGGCAAAAGGGATTCAGAGCGCATCCTTTGACGCTCTGCAGGCCGGACCTGGGCGCTGAGGGGTCTCTGGAAACCCCCCCTCACTCTTGTGGCCGGAGGGTGCAGGCCCCTGAACCGGGGGGCGGGGGGGAGGCATCGGCCCAGGGTAAAAATACCCCCTTGCCAAATTTGTGGTGGTCCTTCTCCTTAAAGGTCCTTCTGAGGTGGGAGGGGTCACTCAGGCAGTCTTTAAAACGGCCTTTCTCAACCTTGGCCCCTGGAAGGTAGGTGGGCTTCAACTCCCAGGATCCCCCTGCCAGAATTCGGGGAGTTGAAGTTGCCTCCAAGGTTGCCGAGGTTCAGGAACGTGGGTTTAAAATAGCCCCTCCCTCCGTCACCTTTGGGCCACCAGGTTCTGGTTCCATGGACCAGAGGCCGCCCACCTTGGCCGCTTGAAGACTCGTGGACTTCAACTCCCAGAGTTCCTCAGCCAGCCTTGCTAGCTGAGGAATTCTGGGAGTTGAAGTCCACAGGTCCTCAAGTAGCCAAGGTGGGAGACCCCTGACAGGCTTCACTTATTTCCACAGCCCAGTTTCTGGCAGGCAAACGGTCCAGTACAGGTCCACGGCCTGGGGGCTGGGAAGGGACGCCTGCTTTAAAACACCTGACCTCCAAATAGAGGCTGGGGTTCAAGCCAATCCTTGTGAAATTGTGTGTGTGTGTGTGTGTGTGTGTGTGTGTGTGTGTGTGTGTGTGTGCTGGCCCTTTGGTGTGGCTTGAGATCCGTTGATGCTGCAGAGACCCCCGGGGGTGATCTCCCAAGAAGAATATTTATAGCTCCGAGTTGACATGAGGGGTCCTGGGTGCTCTCTGAGCTGAGCGGTTTTCTTGCAGACGTTTCATGACCCAACTAGGTAATGTCATCAGTTAGAAAAGGAGTGGGGGGTTGTGGAGAGGAGGAAGAGGAGGAGGAGGAGGGCTGTGGGGTCCTTAATGCTTTCTGAGCTTGGATGTTTCCTTGCAGATGTTTCCCAACCCAACTAAGGAATATCATCAGTACTAGAAGGGTGGAGAGTTTTCAGAGAGGAGGAGGAGGAGAGGGAAGGGAAGAAGAGTGGGAGGAGGAGGAGGAAGAGGAGGAGGAGGAGGAGGAGGAGGAGGAGGAGGAGGGAGAAGAAAGTGGAGGCCTTGGGATCCTTGGTGTTTTTGTAAACTTGGTTGTTTGCTTGCAGACGTTTCATGACCCAACTAGGTAATATTGTCAGTGCTAGAAGGGAGTGGGGTTTGCAGAGTGCAGGAGGAGGAGGGGGGAGAACTGTGGGCTCTTTGGTGCTCTCTGAACTTGGTTGTTTGCTTGCAGACGTTTCACGACCCAACTAGGTAACGTCATCACTGCCAGCGGATGGTCTTACCTAGCACCGAAGATGAGCACCAAGGACCCCGTCCCCCGTTTCTACTTTCTCTGTTTTAGGTCGCGGCCCAATTCAGGCGAAAGGAATTCAGGCTCCTTCTTCCTCCAGGCCCTTGATAACAATCAACCTTCTCCCCCATTCTTCAAAATCGGAAAGAAAGGAACGGAGGTTTGGCTGCGCGTCCTTGAAGGGGAGCTCGCCTCTGATATAATAATTTGCCCATAAAACAAGGCGATTCCTTCTGGATCCCGAGCAGAGGATCAGAGGGAGGGTAGATCCAGAGCTCTTTAACTTTTGAACCAATGTGGTGGGGGGGGAATGCTAGCGTTGATCCTGGCTGCGCTATTCAGAACCCGCAGTTCTTCTGCCGATCTTCTGCGATTCTTTGGCGGTTCTTATTTACTTTCCTTTCAACAGGTCTGTGGAGACGTGTGGAAGGGGCCGCGTTGAAGGAAACACGTTCTCCTTCCGCACATTTCCTTGGCCCCAGAGCCCCCACCCTTTTCCGGGCTTGGGGGTGGGGGCAGGTGAGCTGCAGCAGCAGCGGGAGGGAAAGTGCCTGGTCAGACCCCGCCTGGCTCCCCCACCCGCCCGGCTGGCCCAACTGTCCTTGGGCGGGTGGGAGGTCCACTGGCATAAAAGAGCCCCGTCTGGCTGCCTTTCCTGCAAGAGTCCCGAGAGCCCGTAGGGACCCTGACCAAGAGCCAGAGATGGGGGCAGGCCGCCGGCTGAGCCCCTGCTCCGCTCACCCCGGCCTTTCCCGGGCCCTCTCCCTGGCGCCCCCTGCTGTGGTGGCTAAGCTGAGCCCCCCCAAGGTGCAGCCCTTCGAGGCCATCCCGCGCAACGGGCACAATGCCTGGCTCAACCTCTTCCAGTTCTGGAGGACCAACGCTTTCCAGAACTTCCACCGCGTCATGGACAGGAACTTCCAGCACCTGGGACCCATCTACAGGTGAGTCTCTCCCCACCCACCCGCTATAGGTGGCTGGGTCAGGTGGATCCCCACCCCGGGGCTTTAAGGGGTGGGTGGGATTGGCTGGGTCACCTGGAAGGAAGAGCCTCATCTTCACCTGATGAGCTCAGCTAACCCAGGGTCAGTGGACATGTGCGATTGTGTCAGAGAGAGAGAGAGAGAGAGAGAGAGAGAGAGAGAAAGGAAAGAAAGAAAGAGAAAGAGGGAGAGAGAAAGTAAGAGAGAA